GGGGGGGGGGGGGGGGGGGGGGGGGGGGGGGGGGAGGGGGGCCACCAGAGGTAGCCGCACAGCAGGGCCGTGTCTTGTTTCTTTTCGTTGTTGTTGTTTTTCATTTTATTATTATTTTTTTTACAAATAGTTTATTGTCAAATTAGTTTCCACATAACACCCAGTGCTCATCCCCACAAGTGCCCTCCTCCATGCCCATCTCCCCCCTCCCCCCGACACCCATCAGTCCTCAGTTTGTTCTCAGCATTTAAGAGTCTCTCATGGTTTGCCTCTCCCTCTCCCCAGCTATTTCCCCCCTTTTTCTTCCCCATGGTCCTCCGTTAAGTTCCTCCTGATCCTCTTATATGTGCAAACATGTGATATTTGTCCTTCTCTGCCTGACTTATTTCGCTCAGCATAACACCCTCAAGGTCCATCCACGTTGCTACACATGGCCAGATGTCATTATTTCTCATTGCCATGGAGTATTCCATGGTATAGATGAACCACATCTTCTTGATCCATTCGTCCGTTGATGGACACTTAGGCTCTTTCCATGATTTGGCTATTGTGGAGAGTGCTGCTGTGAACACTGGGGTGCATGTGCCCCTATGCCTCAGCATTTCTGTATCCCTTGGGTAAGTTCCTAACATCATCCTCAACGGGGAAAAACTGAGAGCTTTCCCCCTGAGATCAGGAACACGACAGGGATGTCCACTCTCACCACTGCTGTTTAACACAGTGCTGGAAGCCCTAGCATCAGCCATCAGACAACCAAAGGCAATAAAAGGCATCAGAATTGGCAAAGAGGAAGTCAAACTTTCACTCTTCGCAGACGACATGATACTCTACATAGAAAACCCAGCAGACTCCACCAGAAGCCTACTAGAACTGATCCAAGAATTCAGCACAGTTGCAGGGTACAAAATCAACATACAGAAATCGGTTGCATTTTTATACACCAACAATGAAGCAACAGAAAGAGAAATCAAGGGCCGTGTCTTGTTAAGCACAGAGACAGGATGCCTGGAGTGCGGCCAGAGGTCCCTCGGGGCCGGCACTACCCCCTCCCACCCCCTCCCTCCCAGAGCAGCTTACGGGGGCTGGCGGGGGGCCTGTCCTGTAACAGCCCCGTGGTCGGGCCGTCGGGGAGGAAGACGCCTGCAGGGGGCTGGGGGAGCCGCGCCCGGACCTACCTCCTCCTGCATCCCGCATTCAAGCAGCATCGTCACACAGGCCTCAATGGGGAAGGCGATCTCGCGGCCGCTGATCATGAGGTGCTCCTCCAGGGGCTTCCCGAAGGAAGGCTTCTCCACCCAGGCCTCTGAGCGGGCGAGCGAGCGAGGCCAGTCGGCAGTTAGGGAGGGTCAGACAGGTTTTCCCGACCATCAAACACTCGGGGGTCCAGCTGGGTCCGGGGATGAGGGAGAGGGGCCGACGGCTGGCTAGCTGCGTCCGGGGGCCTGGGCGCCGGGGGGGCCGCGCGTGAGTGTGGTTCTGTCGGGGCGCCTGGGCGGCTCAGTCAGTTAAGCATCCGCCTCTTGATCTCAGCTCAGCTGGTGATCTCTGGGTTCGCGGGTTCAAGCCCCACATCGGGCTCTGGCTGAGAGCACGGAGCCTACTTGGGATTCTCTCGCTTTCTCTCTGCCCCTTTTCCCCTCTCTCACCGTAAGTAAATACACTTAAAACACGCTCTGTTGAGAGCGTAAGGGGGGCTGGAAGACGGAAGGGGTCTCGGCTCCCTGTTTCCCACCCGGAGGAACTCACCCTGTTGTGCTTTTATCTGGGGTAGCACCGCCTGGAGGAGCGTCAGGGATTTCCTGTGGTACTCGGCCTGCACCTCTATCAGCTGAGAAGACACAAGACACGTTCATCCCTTGCGGGAGGGCGGGATGCCCCTGTGGAGGTGGGCAGCCTCCCTCCGGGGGGGGGGGTGCACAGAGCCCCCTGCCCCCTGCCCCCTCGCGATCCACCCACAGTGATGACTGCTGCATGCTTCCTCGTGAGCCTCTCCAGCAAAGGAGCGGAAATCCGGGGGGCCGGAGGACCACGAAGGAATGGGGGGAGCACCCCAGGCCGGGAGCCTGACCTGGCCCCACCTCACCTCCCACCCCGTCCTCAAAGCAAAAGTGGCCAAGGGAGGCGCAACGGGAAAGCACAGACAGGAAACGCACATAGAAATCTGCCTGGAAGTTTCGCTCGCCTGGAAGACGCAGCTAAATGCTAGGCTGTATGTGTCTTGGGTTCTGCAAAGTGAGTTTATACATTTTTTTCTAGTTCATTTCTTTACTTTGAGAGAGAGACAGAGAGAGGGAACACTGGGGAGGGGCAGAGAGAGAGAGAGGGAGAGAGAGATTATCTGAAACAGGCTCCGTACTGTCAGTGCAGAGCCTGACGTGGGGCTCAATCCCATGAACCATGAGATCATGACCTGAGCTGAAATCAAGAGTCGGGCGCTTAACCAACTGAGCCACCCAGGCGCCCTCTGCAAAGTGAGTCTCATATGTAAGTGATCAGAAAATGTGTGGCTTGGGGTAACCGGGTGGCTCAGTCGGTTAAGGAACCGATTCTTAATTTTGGCTCTTTCATGGTCTCGCGGTTCGTGGGATCGCAAGCCCCATGTCGGGCTCTGCACTGATAGTGTGGAGTCTGCTTCGGACATTCTCTCCCGTCCCCCCATCTGCCCCTCCCCCCCCCAAAATAAACTTTAAGAAAAAAAAAGAAAGAAAAGAAAACGTGTGTGTCTTGACCCACCATCCTCTGCAAGTACCCTGGTGGTGAAATAGCTCTGGCTCTTGTGATTCAGCCCTGAATTTGGCCTTCAATTTGCCCATTTTGACCATCCCCCCTGGCTGCCCCCCGCCAACCCGCTAGACCAGCTGCTGAAGTGTCAAGGGCACACGAAAGCCAGGGAACACCACCATTTCTGAGCCCTCGCCCCCACTCCGCCACCCGGTGTGCCTGCGCAAGGGAGCGGGGATGGAATCGCCCTGTTTAAATGCTTGACCCGGATGGTAGATGACCTTGATCTCCAAGTGAAACCTAAAACCTAACATGAGTTTATAAAACAAAATCCAGGCGCTGGAGTAAACGGTACATAAACGGCAAGGATGCAGTCCAAGGTGGCTGTGGAACGTCACAAATGTCATTCATTTTGGAAATTCTAAAATATTACCTCTGTACAAATACCCAAGGGGATATGCTTGCAAAAGTGCTACTGTTTGGAAATAAACTGTCCGGGCTGGAAGGGAGGCTTATCAGTGCTTTTGCAGGGGAGACGGAATTGCTTGCAACATCTGGACCACTCACTGGTCACAGCCGCGGCCGGCCCTTGCCTCTTCTACCGCACTTCCTTTCCACCTTCCAGGACCTCTCCTCCTCCTCTTCCTCTTTACCTCCCTTCCCTATCATCCCATTGCTTACCCCATCATTTAAGTCTGCGTCTTATCCCCTGGCATTAAAGGGAGACGAGCCGAACCGGATTTTTAATTTGTGGTTTTTCTCTCAAGTCTTTTGAACTGTTGCTGGTTTTGTTTTGTTCTGCTTTGTTTTAAAAAAAAATTTTTTTAATGTTTATTTCCATTTGAGAGACACAGCGTGAGCGGGGGAGGGGCAATGTCAGAAAGGGAGACACAGAATCTGAAGCAGGCTCCAGTCTCCGAGCTGTCGGCACAGAGCCCGATGCGGGGCTCGAACTCACCAACTGCGAGATCATGATTCCGAGCTGAAGTCGGATGTTTAACTGACTGAGCCACCCAGGCGCCCCTGCTCTCTTTCTCTGTTTATGACAGACCAGGGCGGCTTAACCTTGGCCTTGACGGACATTTGGGACAGAGTCGCTCCGGCTGAGGGAGGCTGTCCTGTGCGCTGTAAGATGTTTGGCAGTGTCCCCGACCCCTCCTCACCAGATGCGCCTCCCCAGTGGTGACAGCCCCCGACGTCTGCAGACATGGCCAGACATGCACTGGAAATCGGGACATAATCACCCGGATGGAGAACCGCTGTCAGAGACGACAGGGTTGCAATCATCGCTGTGGACGGGTTGAGTTTTAGGCTTTTAGGGAAATCCGTGCACGGGGAGACAGAAGACAGGATTTATTCACAGACAGAACCGTTCAATACCACATTCTCTCCCGCAGAGTGCCGCACCGTTAGGTTCCATGCCCCCTTCCTTCCTGTCCATGCCCGGCCCCTCGTGACCAAATTTCAAGTACCCTTACCTTTCTGGACCCTTACCGTTTGAAAGTAGTTTGCATAGTCGATTTCTTTGGCCACAAAACTGTACATGTCCGCCGAGAGCTGGTCCTGCGGAAGGGGCAAACGCACTGCTGAGGTAAAACACAGAACAATCGCGCCGCTAACGCATGGGTCTAGACCCCACAGAAGCAAGGGTGGGTCTAGACCCCACAGAAGCAAGGGTGGGTCTAGACCCCACAGAAGCAAGAGCCTTCGCCACTGTTTAATCCCGTCTTTAGTCATTCCCGACATACCGCCAACTTCTCTCATGGGCATCCCTGTGCTTCCCAGCCAGGACTCCCAACCAGAGGGTGAGTAAGCGTGAAAAGAACACCTATGGCCACAGCCTCCCCAGGGCTGGTAACACACGAGCCGCGTCCAGAGTCGGGGAAGCTGATGTGGGGGAGTGACGTGCAAATGACTTCCACACGTCTCCGCAGCCGCCGCCTCCGAGGACGAGACGGGCTCCTGCCCTCCCCGAAACGGCCCGCCCGTCTCCTGATCATTGTACCGCTTGGCTCTCTCCCTGCGAACCCAGCACTGACTGGCTGCTCACCGCGTGTGGGAGGGAAGTGGAAACACACCAGTCGGGGGCAGGTGGATCAGACAGATGGGCTGGTTCCGAGGAGGGCTGCTGATTCGACATTTGGAAGATCCCGGGCTCCGCCAAGGTCACATGCAAACCTTGCGGGGTTCACCGTCCTGTGCCACCCAGCTCTCCGTGGGATCAGTGGCCAGCGACCTCTTGCTGCATCTGAATCTGGGATGTGCTCTCCTTCCGGAGCGTTTCACCTCCACGGGAACACCCACCCACAGCAAGGGACAGCTATAGCACGTTGAGTAGGAGGGCAGACGGTCACTGACCGTGCCTGTGAGCAAGTCGTGTCCCTGAACTTGTCTGCACAAGCCAGGGGTCTGCAGTTCCTCCCGGGTTAGCCTCAGCCAGGCGATCTTTACAAAAGACACTCAAGGCAGAGTTAAAAGGGAAATCGGTTCCCTGGAGAGCTTTAAGCACCGGTCAGTCAAGGCTACACTTGGTCCAGTTTCAAAGAATGAAGAAAGTGGAAAGAAATGAATTAACCTTCGGGGGTGGGGTGGGGGTGGGGAGGGACCATCTAGGTGCAAGGCACAACGTCACACGGAGTTCTGTCTTTGGTGAGGCCATTGTCACCAGCAGTTGTGAGGGGGACAGGTCAAGGCAGGGAAAAACCAAAGGGTCAAATGATAAAAATGGCTCAGCACACCGAGAAAGGCAGGGACCCCTGAAAGACTGAACAGTACGCTGAATACACCTTCGATGACTGGACATTTGAGCTACGCCAAAAGATGATCTTGGAAAACTCAGAGGCACCATCGGTGGGTGCCCAGAGGAGAACGAAAGGATTTCTTAAAGATATAAGCTCATCACCGTCTTACTGAGTTAACAATAACGGTCCCAAATAAGCTGCACCGTGAGTAAGAAATAAAAGTGAAAACTAAACCCGATTTCCGTCTATCTGAATCATGAGTGAATTTCCTTTATAAAGAAAAAAAAAATCTGTCATCACCAGAGTTTAATGTGTTTCAGAAATAATTTGTTTTCTGCTTTTGCAACGAATCCACACTCAGAAAAAAGACAGAGGAGATACCCACGTTCACTTGCGATGCCGCCACACGGAGATGACCGCTATGAACACATGACGTGAAGTCTGCTCATGTGACATCTGTTCTCATCAGTCCCACGTTTTGTATGGTTGCTTTATAAAAATGGGACCAGGCCGTGTTGGAGCTCATTCCCTGCCCCTCAGAGAAACATTCTAATCATCACATGACATTTAATATATGTACGGATCATACATCAAACAGACTGTTGCTGGCTATTGTGTTTCTAATTTTTCATTACAACAGCACTTGGAAAGCATGTGTTCACTTAGATTTGCACCAATCTCTTATTTCCTTATGATAAACTCTGCAGTTTAAAATTAATTCTGGTGGCATATTTCCTTATAGTTAAATTCATTAAAAGTTTTTGAAGTTTTTATTTATTTTTTTGAGGGCGGGGGAAGGAGGGAGGGAGGAAGGGGATCCCAAGCAGGTACCATGCTGTCAGCACAGAGCCAGGTGTGGGGCTCGAACTCATGAACTGTGATATCATGGCCTGAGCTGAAACCAAGAGTCGGATGCTTAACTGACTGAGTCACCCAAGTGCCTCATCCTTAGAGTTAAATTTAAAAACATTAACAAGATAATAATGATTTGGGATATAGGGCTTTTAGTTAAAAAAGAAAAAGACACCTAGGCATAGCATATTCAAACTTCAGAAAATCAAAAATAAAGAAGAAATACTGAAAGAAGCCAGAGGTTAAAAACATTTTAGCACAAGACCGAAGAAAAGAGTTACATCTGACCTCTCCTCAGAAAACAAGCAAAGCCAGAAGAGGGTGGAGGAAAATGTTTAAAGTACGGAGAAGAGGAAAAAAAAAAGCCCACCAACCTAGGAATCCATACCCTGCACAATTACTTTCAAAAGGGACTTGAAGAGGGGCATCTGGGTGGCTCAGCTGGCTAAGCATCTGACTTCAGCTCAGGTCATGATCTCACAGCTGGTGGGTTCGAGCCCCGCGTCAGGCTCTGTGCCGACAGCTCAGAGCCTAGAGCTGCTTCAGATTCTGTGTCTCCCCCCCTCTCTCTGCTCCTCCCCTGCTCGTGTTCTCTCAAAAATAAATAAAACATTAAAAAGATTTTTCAAAGGGACTTGAAAAAAATCTATGGGATTTGTTCCCAGTAGACCTATTTTACAAGAAATGTGTAAAAATGTACTTTAAGAGAGAATGAAAAAGATCAAGGTCAAAAACTCAGACCTTCACAAAGGAAACAAAAAGCATCAGGGAAAGAATAAGTGAAGATACCATAGAACTTCTGTTTTCTCATGCTTAACCTAAGGGATAAAGTTGTTCAGAATAATGGCAACAATGTACTTACATGTATGTGAACGTATCCACGTATTCAGATGAACATACATGATTACATGGATACATTCGTATAAACACACCCGTGCTTACGCTGATGTACATGGCAGTGGAAGGAACTAGAGGTATTTTGTTACTGAGATGTACTCGCACTCTTGGGAAACGCCAAACAACTATTCCAAAGTGGACCTGGATTAATGATAAATACATATTGCAAACTCTTGGTAGAATTGATATGCTGAGAAAGGAGAAAAAGCAAAACCACTTGAAAAATTGAAGCGAAACCTCAAAAGGCAGAAAATCTGAGGGCAAAAGTAGTAACAGAGAATAAGTGAAACAAGTAGAAAACAGGAACAATTATGATAGCTATGACCCCACTATATTCAATAATCACTTAAACATCAATGGTGTAAATACACCAATTAAAAGACAGAGATTGTTGGGGTGCCTGGGTGTGTGGGTCAGTTAAGCCTCTGACTCTTGGATCTTGGCTCAGGTCATGATCTCACGGTTTGTGAGATTGAGCCCGGTGTCGGGCTCTGTGCTGACAGCATGGAGTCTGTTGGTGATTCTCTCTCTCTCCACCCCTCCTCCACTTGCACTCTCTCTTCTCAAAATAAATAAGCTTAAAAAATAAGTACATAAGGGGCACCTGGGTGGCTCAGTCAGTTGAGTGTCCAGCTTTGGCTCAGGTCATGATTTCAAGGTTCATGGGTTTGAGTCCTGCCTCGGGTTCTGTGCTGACAGCTCAGAGCCCGGAGCCTGCTTTGGATTCTGTGTCTCCCTCTCTCTCTCTCTCTCTCCCTGCCCCACTCACACACACTCTCTCTCTGTCTCTCAAAAATAAATAAATGTTAAGACAATTTTTTAAAATTAAAAATTAAAAAAAAAAAGTTGTCAGAGTGGATCAGAAATCAAGGCCCAACTATATGAGGGTTATAAGAAACCCACTTTAAATACAAAGGTATATGTATAAATTATGGGGCGCCTGGGTGGCTTAGTTGGTTAAGAGTCCAACTTTCGCTTAGGTCATGATCTCGCGGTTCGTGGGTTCGAGCCCCGCGTCAGGCTCTGTGCTGACTGCCAGCTCGGAGCCTGGAGCCTGTTTCAGTCTGTGACTCCCTCTCTCTCTGACCCTCCCCTGCTCACGCTGTCTCTCTCTCTCTCCTAGAAATAAATAAAACATTAAAAATTAAAAAAAAAAAAGGTATACGTATAAATTAAAAGTAAAAGGATGGAGAAAGACCTAACCCTGTTGACACTAATCCAAAGAAAGCAGGAATGGCTACATTTCACCAGACCGGCATTCAGAGCAAGGAAAGTTCTCAGGGATAAAGAGGGACAATGTTAATGATAAGGGGTCATTTTACAAAATGTTAATAATCCTTTGTGTGATGTGCCTAACGGGGCATCAAAATACATGAGGAGTAAGTAACAAAACCTCAAGAAGAAATACAGGGGCCCATTACTGAGACATAAAACCCGTCTATTGGAAACAGATCGAGCCCGCAGAAGATCAGTTGGGACGTTGCTGAACTCAACAGCACCAGCAATGAACTTGACACAGCGGACATCCAGAGACGACCTCACACAACGGCAGCAGATTACACATTCTTCACAAGCTGCCACGGAACGTCCATCAGGACAGATCCCATTGTGGGCCATAAAACACATCTGAACAAATTTAAAAGAATCACAATCATACAGTGTTGGCTTTCTGACCACAATGGAATTAAACTAGAAATAAATTTACAGAACCACAGCTGGAAAAGCCCCAGTGCATGGAGATTAAAGAATACCCTACTGCTAGGGGCGCCTGGGTGGCTCAGTTGGTTAAGTGTCCAACTTCAGCTCAGGTCATGATCTCACAGTTCCTGGGTTCGAGCCCTGCATGGGGCTCTGTGCTGACAGCTCGGAGCCTGGAACCTGCTTCGGATTCTGTGCCTCCCTCTCTCTCTGACCCTCCCCTGCTCATGTTCTGTCTCTCAAAAATAAACATTAAAAAATTTTTTTAATAAAACAAAAGTATATAAAATATACATATAAAGATGTTGACTGTATCATTTCTGGTGATGGCAAAAAACCAAACATACTAGTTTGAATATCCTATTGAACATCAATAGGAAAAGAGTTGCACAAGTCATGGTATATGTATATCCCTCCAATGCAATACTGTGGTCTTTTTTTTTTTTTAATTTTAAGTGTTTATTTTTGAGAGAGATAGAACATGAGCAGGGGAGGGGTGGAGAGAGAGGGAGACACAGAATGTGAAGCAGGCTCCAGGCTCTGAGCTGTCAGCACAGAGCCCGACGTGGGGCCTGAACCCACAAACCGTGAGATCATGACCTGAGCTGCAGTTGGACACTTACCCGACTGAGCCACCCAGGCGCCCCATGTTTTTATTTATTTTAGAGAGAGAAAGTGAGCATGAGTCGGGGAAGGGCAGAGAGAGAGGGAGACACAGAATCTGAAGCAGGTTCCAGGTTCCGACCTGTCAGCACGGAGCCCGACATGGGGCTCTAACCCACGAACTGAGATCATGACCTGAGCTGAGGTCAGACGCTTAACTGACTGAGCCACCCAGGCGCCCCAAGAAATAAGATTCATACCTAAAGAACACAAATCCCCAGTAACAGGGGTGGACGCCAGCCAAAGCCGACGTGAATCCAGCATGAGAGTTCTACTTCACAAACAGCACCAGCTAGCCAGCTGCTGCCGTAAGGCAGGAGTTCAAGTGACAAACCAGCTGTAGTCACGAGGAGCCCTCACCTGCTGAAGTATCTCAAAGTTTTCCTTTGCTTGATCCCATAGCACTGCAGACGGGAGGGGTCACAAGTTCCTGAAAGATGCACCAGTGTTGCTAATTTCCAGAGAGAAATGCTATCTGGCCCTGAACGTCACCTGACTGCAAGGTCAAAGCCACCTGCGCTATAAAACGATGAGCCAATGGGCCAAGCGGACAAGACTAGAAAAAGCCACAAAGAACAGAGATGTCTGCACGCAGAGCGGCTACTCTCCTCTAAAAGTGCAGGAGAGGACGCACCAGGTACCCAAGCATACTTCCGGGTACGTGACACGCTTCTTCCGTGGATCTGACCCCTGGCGAAGCCAAGTGCACGTAGGCAGGTACGCATATACACAGAGGCTCCGCTGCTAATAAGCGCCTATTAGCTCCACGTTTGTGGAGAAGATGGGAAACGTGTGAGCAGGTGTAGCCGAGGCCCCTACTTCTCGGAACGAAGAGACATTCCTCTCTTAAACAAGCCCGAACTTCTCTCGTCCGGGGCTATCTCCTCACTCGTGAGCATTCCAAATTCCTCGTTCGCTGTGTCCCAGGAGGCAAGAGATGGATAAAGGGGCCCAGGAAGCACGAAAAGGGGGACCCAAAGCTCAACGCTATTGAATGTCAACGGTGAGTCAAGGTTCGCCTACGGTCTAAATTCTCGACTGTTCCTCCCAGCCTGGGATCCATTCTGTGGGACTCAGAGTGCCTCACAAAAGCTTTGAACGGAGACCACGGCCATTTCCTCCCAGCACTGCCGCCACCCTGTCTCGGTCACCTCAAGCCCCAACCCTTCGGGCTCATCCTGGGCTCTGGACAGACCGGAGGGCAAGCCTGGGGACGTTTAGCTCAACCGGAGCTCGCCCTTAGGGTTTTAATAGGACTCCAGTGAAGGCTAAGGGGCTCCCCATCCGTCCCGGTAAAGAGGAGCAAGGCGGGGTGGGGTACCCTGCAAATCTCCACTCTGTTGGCTGCCTCTTCCATCTCTTCCCTGAGGGCGTCAGCTTTGGCACCTGCGGGCTGTAAGCTGCTGGACAGACCTGAAGACTTGGAAGTCTGCTGCCACCTGATGGAAAACAGGAGAGAAAGAGGAGAGGCGTGAGACAGAGCCCTGGGGACATCAGGGGACACTGAGAAACGAGCCGGTTACGAGCATTAACCCAGGAGGAAGGCGGCAGGACTGGCCGGACGCAGGGTCCCCGTTCGGATTCCCCCGACTGTCCCGTGTCCTCTGAACTGTGTCCCCCTGAACACTTGGGACACACAGACCACCACCAGGGGTGCCTTCTCCGAAGCACAGCGCGTGCTGCCCCTTTATGTCCCCTGACTGTCCTGAGGCCTCCAAGTCAGAAACGCTCCCCGACCTGGCTGGAGCCAAAACGCTTGCGAGCTGAGAGCAGAAGCAGATGAGATTGAAGACAAACCTGAAAGCCAAAGTCCCCACGGGTCAGCACTCAAAGCTTCCTATCGACATTGAGGTTGGGCGTTTATATTTCCTTAAACGTGTCTCTCTGCGCGGAGAGTACCAGCCGGCGGGGGAAGGTGCGGGCGGGAGCACGGACATCGCTGTGCTATGGCATTCTCAGGGACATACTGCAAGCAGCCCCCACCCCCCGCCCCGGAAGGAAGGTTCTGATCACACTAGATAGTAGCAGGTGCAGCGGGGACCGGCACTGGGGTCCTCTCCCACTGCGTCCGTAAACTCAAGGGCTGATAGGGGCCATGGAGTCAGAGCAGCAAGTCCAATGGGCCACTGTCTTAAGAACGAGCCCTCCCTTTATGTCCTACTTGTAACTGGGCAGGAGGTGCAAACTGTACCACGGCCGCCCTAAGGGTACAGTTGAGGGGAAGGGGGCCTGGTGGGGTTACTGGCCCCACAGTAACCAGTGCACAGTGCACACAGTGCAGCTGTGTCTCAGCTGACGGGCCCCAGGCAGGGGCGCAGACGTCTCAGATGCCACAAGGAGCTGGCAGTTGTCACGTGAACCCTCCCGATGCAAGGTGGCATCATATTAAATAGCTTCTCTCTTTTTTTAAGGTTTATTTTGAGAGAGAGAAAGAGGGAGAGGGAGGGAGGGTGGGAGGAAGAGACAGAGAGGCAGAGAGAGAGGGAGAGAGAATCCCAAGCAGGCTCCATGCTGTCAGCACAGAGCCCAAGGCGGGGCTCGATCTCACAAACCGTGAGATCACAACCCAAGCCGAAACCAAGAGTTGGATGCTTAAGTGACTGAGCCACCCAGACGCCCCTAAATAATTTCTCTAAACATCTTGCAGGCTAATAGCGTACAGACCAAACTGTAAGGCCCTGCAGGGCCCTCTGGCTCTCATGCCATCCAATGTAAGGCCACAGATACAACGTGACCTTCAATTTGAGACTCACTAGGTGTTCTCCCTACACAGTCTCTTCTTATCCTCAGGACACACAGAGGGGTCCAAGGCTATGGCACAAGGAAGGGAAATGAAAGTCACCTTCGCTATTAGCAGAAAATATATATTAAAAAAATTAAAAAATAGCCAAACAACAGATTCTATATTCCCTTAAAAAATGCAAAATTAAAAAATAGCCAAACAACAGATTCTATATTCCCTTAAAAAATGCATTCACGGGAAAATGACTTAAAAAGGCTTTGGGACGTCAAGCCAGGGACGTCAAGCCAGCTCGAAGGTCCAGAGATGGACACGCAGGTCTTGACGACCATTCCTCATTCAAGAAAAGAATTCAGGGCAAAATAGAAAGGAAATACTCTACTCAAAGAGGTTTCAAAATCTAAAGTAACAGATAAGGATTAATACAAATTCCTGGGTAATTCTTTCTTGTAAAATGGTTTGCTCTACAGAAACGACGTATTTAATGAACCTCCCAGGGTTTAAGCATTTCAAGCAAAGAATTAAAGTGGACAGGAAGCCTGGGTGGCTCAGTTGGTTACGCATCTGACTTCAGCTCAGGTCATGATCTCCCGGTTTGTGAGTTTGAGGCCTGTGCCCCTCCCCCACTCTGTTTCTCTCAAAAATAAATATTTTAAAAATTGAAAAATAAAAAAATAAAGTGCTGTTGGGTCTGCCAAATAAAATAGTAGATCCTTTGGCTGTAATTTAGATCGCTGATAATGAAGACGGTAGATTATGAGATTAAGCTCTGAGATGCCTGCCTGGCTCCGTCAGTAGAGCATGAGGCTCTTGCTCTCAGGGATGTGAGTTCAAGCCCCACACTGGCCGTGGAGCCTACTTTAAAAAAAAAAAAAAATGTGAAGCTATAACCACCATTCGGCTCATGCTATCTAAAGAAAATATCACTAACCAACATAGGCATGAAAAAAACAAAGTGACTGCAGACATTGATTTTTATGGCTCCAAAGATGTGGATTAGATTAAAAAATAAAACAATTATAATTAAGATGCGTATATTAAAGTGAAGACATTTTCCTAAGTTACCTTTCCTTCCTTATTTCCCTCTATCTTCCACCTAAATTCTATCCCTTAGCCAACATCTTGGTAATTTATTTAATTTATTTATTTATTTTAGAGAGAGGGCATGTGTGAGCAGGGAAAAGGAGCAGAGAGAGAGAAAGAATCTTAAGCAGGCTCCATGCTCAGTGCAGAGCCTGATGCAGGGCTCGAACTCAGGAACCGTGAGATCACCACCTGACCCAAGATCAAGAATCAGATGCTCAACCAACTGAGCCACTCAGTATGGTAGTTTAAAAATGTACGTCTTTCCCCTCCCTTTATAGGGAATTTTATTCACAATAGATAAATAACCTATTTTGAGATTCCTAAGTAGTGATAAAATGTGGAATGAGACTGTGGAAATACAGAATAAAATGACAAGGAAAACACAGAAACATGTGTATGGACAGTAACCTGCGGGGGAAAGAGACCTTAATCGTGAATTTCAAGGTATGGTGGCCTTGCCGGCCATCTCTTCTATAAATAAACCCAAGAACTGTCCTGCCCGGTCGCGAGAAGACACGTGGAATCTTGACCAAGAAGCCGGAGCTTTATAATTTGCAGAGCAGAAAAGGTCTGCGGTGACACCATCATTTTCTGGGAAAGACGCCACTGACTCTACAATCTGAGGGAGGTGGAGACAGAATGCCGGCTTTAATGAAGGCGAGAAGAGAGAAAGGGGCCAGAAAAAAAGAGTATGGAATTTTAGGGACCGGGAGAAGGGTCAAGAGGGCAAATTCAAAATGAGTTCAAGGCAATGGAGCATCGAGAAGAATTTTCAGAGGGCCAACAGGGATGCTCTTTGTTTTTTTTGTTTTTTGTTTTTAATTTTTTAAACATTTATTTATTTTCGAGACAGTGAGAGAGCACGAGCTGGGGAGGGGCAGAGAGAGAGGGAGACACAGAATCCGAAGCAGCTCCAGGCTCTGAGCTGTCAGCACAGAGCACCTGACGCGGGACTTGAACCCACAGACCGCGAGATCATGACCTGAGCCGAAGTCGGACGCTCAACCGACTGAACCCCCCAGGGGCCCCAACAGAGATGTTCTTTGAGTGGGACACTTATTATTTCATCTGGCCAAGTCTCCTCCTTCCCGGTGTTGCCGGCATCCTCTGCTTTGAGAGGCCCTGCCTCACTCCCGCTCTGATGCGTGGGCCCCCGGGGGCTGTCAATGTGGCACGGCCCTCAGCGTAAGTGGTCCAGGTGAGGGTCCCTGGCGCAAGCCAAGCTGGTGCCCACCCTGCATCACCCTGGCCAACTGGCGGGCCAAGAAAGGGGCATGTAAGCAAGTCCGGACAAATGGAGCCCCCTCCTTTGTACTTCTAGAGCGAGAACAAAAGGGATATTTTGGAGAGAGACATGAGCCCAGAGGACCCTGAAGACAATGGACCGAAGATGCCTGTACGTGGAGAGAGCAGGGGTGAGATGTGACAAAGAGCTCCTCCCCTCCCACCCAAGGTAGTTAAATCAGCCACAGCTCCAGAATTCACTTCTAATTCCCTTCTTTACCTCCATGAGCTATCCAGGACCCTTCCCCACACTCTCCTGCTTTATTTATGTGAGTTCACCTGCCTCCAAAGAAGGGAGGTGTCGGGGCGCCTGGGTGGCTCAGTGGGTTAAGCGTCCAACTTTGGCTCAGGTTATGGTCTCATGGTTCATGGGTTTGAGCCCCGTGTCGGGCTCTGTGCTGACAGCTCAGAGCCAGGAGCCTGTTTCAGATTCTGTGTCTCCCTCTCTCTCTGCTCCTCCCCTCACGCTGTCTCCCTCTCTCTCAGAAATAAATAAAACATTAAAAAATTTTTAAAAAAAGAAGGGAGGTGTCTTCATCTGCTTAGGCTGCTATGACAGTATAGCAGCCGCTGAACAGTCTGGACAACAGACATCAGTTTTCTCCCAGCTCTGGGGACCAGAAGTCCTGGGTCCAGGCTCTGGCAGGGTTGGGTTTGGTGAGGGCTCCCTTGCTGGCTGGCAGAGAGCTGCCTCCTCACTTGCCCGCACATGGCCCTTCCTCTGAGTGTGGCGCGAGAGAGAAATCCCTCTCCCTCTTCTTCTAAGTCCACCAACCCTACGGGATGAAGGCCCTTTGGACTGACTTCATCTTCATTACGAGGCCCTATCTCCAAACACAGTAGGGGTCAGTGCTTCGACACATGAATATGGGGAGGGAAGACCATTTCCTCCACGGCAGGACCCAGAGGCAGCTATTCAGCAGAAGTGTGACGTGTTCTGGACTCACAAGGGTTGATCTTAAGATACACGCCCAGAAAAAAAGGTGACGCAGACTTTGGAAAGGAATGGGGCTCCTTCCATTACCATTGTCAAACCAAACCTATCACGGAAAAGACATTTGTTTAACACTCTTCAATTCAATTCAATTCAATTCAATTCAATTCAATTCAATTCAATTCAATTCAATTCAATTCAATTCATGTCTTTAATCCAGCATCAAGCTTTCTCGAGTTCTTCCTCCATTGTCCTTATCTACAATCTTCTGCTGAGCTTTGGTCCTCTCTGAGGACATGAAGGCTTATAAAATTGGCCTTTGACGCAGACAAGCCAGACACACTGGAAGAGAGGCGAATACACACCTTGGATTCAGAATCAATTAAACACTGGAAAAAGGAGCGGGATTTGACAGAACCCACCCAAGCTGGAGCAGACTTCAAAGATCCTGTCACAGTGATCAGGGGCATCTCCACCTGGGATGCAAAGCACAGGGCTGGATGGCGTAACTCACGAAGGGCAAGAAAAATACGAGTGAAGAAAGGTCTGATCATCAGAAGAAGGACATCACCAAGAGCCGACCTAACAAGGGCAAACTGACCACATGGGGAGGCCGGGCGGGGGTGGAGAGCGGGGCAGGGAGCCAGCCGTTCCAGAAGATCAGCGGGTGGTTTTGCATTGACCACTTGGTCTCACTCTCACTGCTGTATCTGGGGGTGCGGCCCTCACGTGGGCGGAGCGGGGAAGGGGTAGGGAAAATGCAGGAAGTAGGGGTGGGTTGGCTTCCGAAACAACATAGGTTGTCAAGGGTCTCAGCTGAGGTTTACAAGCATAAAGATTTGGATGCGGAAGGTGGCGATCTCCTTACCGAATCCCAGCACACCAGGGATGAGGGGCTGGAAACGTGCAAGAGCTCGTTGTCTGGAAGAGCTCATTAAATCACAGAAGGCGGTTCCTAATGACGCTTCTCTATGGCTTCGGAATCTCTACGCCACGTGGCGTCACCCCCAAAGACACACCACGCGACAAGATGGACTGTGACTGCCGCCCACCTTCCATCTCATAAGGAGGGTGAACAAAAATCCGTACATAGAGGGGGTGACCGCGAGCCCCAAGGCTCCCGGCATTGGGCCCTCTGACCAGGAGCTCCGTGTTGGACATTCAGCTTTCCTTACAGAAGCGGAGAGAAGACAGACCTCTGAGCTAAGAACCAGGTCCCCACCCAAGGAAATCACTCTGCAAATCCAGGGGCAAGGGGCCTACCATCATGTCACCAGTGGGACAGACAGCGTGACCGCCCTCCCATTGACTCCCCACATGTGGGCCTCGAATGCTGACATCATGGGAGGTGCCCATATGTGACCCAAGGATGTAGCCATGAGCGAGCGATGCCAAATGTATACTCCCCACGCAGGCTGCTCTGTCTTGCTCCACATATGCTAAGGAGCGAGCTCAGGGGACGTCTGGGTGGCTCAGTCCGTGAAGTGTCTGCCTCTTGATTTCGGCTCAGGTCATGAGCTCACAGTTCGTGAGATCGAGCCCCACATCAGGCCCCGTGCTAACAGCACTGAGCCTGCTTGGGATTCTCTCTCTCCCTCCCTCTCTCTGCCCCTTCCCTGCTCATGCTCTCTCTCTCTTAAAATAAATACATAAACTTTGGGGGTGGAGGGGAAAAAGGAGAGTGCCTCAGATGTAGGTCAGAACAACTTGGGGCAACTTTCCGGATCCTTTTCCTTCTTAACAGAAGAGGCGTCAGCATCACAGCCTCCCACAGGCAACAGGACGGGAGATTAAACGCACTGGCTTTGCTTGTGACCTGGGCACTTTTCGGCGTACCCGGTACTTAGAGAAAAGGCTTTCGATCTCTGGGAGCGCTCCACCATGTTTCTTAACAGATTCATTTGGAAGAAGTGAATCAACTTCTTACAAGATGTGTGACTCCGCACATCCAAAACCGTTTGGGTGGACTGAAGTCTGGGAGACACAAAATTAACCAAAGAGATCTTTGTGTCTCTGTTGATACAACCTATTCTGTTTCTGGTCCTCGGGGACTGGCCTACATTCCCTACTGGGCCAGAGGCCGAACTTCAGGGTCCAAACTATTACAGTAGCTGCCCCCTTTTGCAAAGCCGTTGGAAAGCGCTAGAAAAAAGTGCCAAACGTGAACTCATCTGACACTGAAAACAGTCCTCAAGTCCGGCCACAAGTGGCATTACCATCCGTGTGCGGGTGCGGGAACTGAAGTTCTGGGGGCAGGAGGGGGGCTGAGTGACTCGACCAAGCTTGTGGGGCTGGGAAACAGGGGCCTGGGTCTGGGAACCTCACCTCCGATTCCTCGTTCAGGATTCTACCTTGGGTCTCTCGGCCCAGGCCGAGCCGTCTATTCTGGGTTTGTTTGTGTTTCTTTTTCTCAGGAAAATCAAAAAAAGAGGTGTGCAGGTGATTAAAATTGACCGGCCAAAGGGCCTATAGTTGAGCCAGAATGTTCCTTCCGTATTCATATTCGTGCACCTACATCCCTCCAAGCTGCACACTTAGGCGCACACACCAGTGCAAGAACCAGAAAGGTGGATACACACCACTAGGACAAATGGAGGCCAGAGTCAATGGCGTCTTGGCCTCTGGCGGCTCCCCTGCTGTAACAGGCACTTTCCGGAAGCTTCTGGGAGATGGTACAGGACAAGAACAGCACAGTGGGAACCCTACTTCGCTCCACATAGTCTTGGGTTCAGAGAATGGCTACAGAGAGGAGAGCGCTGCACCACTGGCTCCTTCTACCTTAGCCACGCTTCGTGCCGTACCTGAATATGGCGGCCTGACTCCCCACCCCAGGACCTTCACATGTGCTGTTCCCGCTGTCATGAACCGTTCTGCACCCGATCTCCGCGTGGCTACGTCCTTCTTGTCACTGACATCCCAGATCAAGTGTCACCTCCTCTAAAATGCCTTCTCTGTTTTAGCCTACTTCATGTTGTTGCTTTCCTTTCACCATCATTCTCTCCCAGAACTGCACTGTGCCATCTTTTTTCTTTTAAGTTTATTTATTAATTTTGAGAGAAAGAGAGTGAGAGAAAGAGTGTGTGAGTGAGCAGGGGCAGGGGCAGAAAGCAAGGGAGAGACAGAGAATCCCAAGCAGCCTCCTCACTGTCAGCAAAGAGCCCAACATGGGGCTCAATGTCACAATGTCTCAATGACCGTGAAATCACAACCAGAATTGAAACCAAGAGTCGGACGCTTCACCGACTGAGCCACCCAGATGCCCCAAGTGCTATCTTCTTTACAGGGCTCACGGCTGCCTGAAATCACACGTGTTCACTTGCTCTTCTAGGGTTTCTGTCTCCCACACTAGACTACAGCCCCCAAGAGAGCAGGGACCCCATGTCTCTGACCCACAACTCTTACCGCCAGTGCCTGGCACGTCGCGAGCGTTCAGAAAAAGTTAGTGAATGAAAACACACTCACAAACACCTCCACACACAAACCCCTACCCCCCAAACACGATCCATGTTCCTTCCAAGAAGCAAAAACGAAAGCAGAGCAATTCTACTCTACCTTGTTCGTGAAGAATCCATGTCCAGCACCAACTTTGCTAAATGTTTCCTCTGTTTCTGAATATTTGGGATTTCCACCTGTGGTTACAGAAGGTAAGAGGCACAGTCAAACTAAAGCTCCAGATAAATTCTTTTTTTTTTTTTTTTTAATATTTTTTATTTATTTCTAGGAGAGAGAGAGAGAGACAGCGTGAGCAGGGGAGGGTCAGAGAGAGAGGGGGAGTCACAGACTGAAACAGGCTCCAGGCTCTGAGCTGGCAGTCAGCACAGAGCCCGACGCGGGGCTCGAACCCACGAACCGCGAGATCATGACCTGAGCCAAAGTCGGACGCTTAACTGACTGAGTCACCCGGACGCCTCAAGTTCCAGATAAATTCTTGAAGAACTACGGACAGCCATCCATCCAAAAAGTGTCCTGGAGGCTTCCCAAGCCTTATTTCCGGACGAAACCCTCGATTCTTCTTCCTGAGCTGACCTCTGCTCTTTGTCCGCTGGACACCCTCCAGGCCCCCATCACCCAGACCCCACGGGGGCTCCGCACTGCTCTGCGCGCTTGCGCCTGGCCTCATTCTTACTCCTGCCTCAGCCAGCAAAAACAGGCTCAGTCCCGGCTCTGCCCTTCACACATGGGTCACAAGCGGAGAGAAAAGCGGAAAGAACGGACACACGGACCTAATTCAAAACAGACAGCGGGTGGATGGCGGGGACTCGTCTCAGGAGACTGGAGATCCGATGAGGAATGCAATCAGGACGTATTGTTATAGAAATTAAGTAAGAAGTTCTTCCAAAATAAATACCAAACAAACACAGCCACGGCTTTGCTCGGCTATGACTAGTTCTTCCACAGTGGGTGTATGTGGATACTCTTTTTATATTTTTGTTTCTAAAACAGGACACCCCAGGGTGTGGGATCTGGGGTCCAGGCTCGGCCAAAGTGGGGCAGGAAGTGAGAATTTTGAAAGGGAAATTGGCTGTACGTTGAAACCCACATCATCTCAGACTATAATAGAGAAGGAAGTGGGAGGAAGATCTGAGCAGGGGTGAGTGACGTACGGCGGGTAACATCTTCTGGCAGGTAAGAGAAGACATGGCCCTGGGCTCCCGGAGTTGTCACAGAGCCCAGAAGCAAAGCTGGAGGGTCACAGGGACATCTGGTTGGAGTAGGCGAGTCTCTGCATCTAGGTCAAACACATCCTTTGGGTTTCAGTCAGGCTTTGCCTGGGACCCCAAACCAGCTTTATGAAGAGCAAAGGGCCTCTTGCGCATGCTCTTGGCTGAGCAGTGGCCTCTAACGGGATGGCATCTGAGAAGTCTAGAGCTGATCTCTAGAGAGGGATTTCTCCTTGAATACTTGCAGGCACCCAAATATTTATTTGCCCATACATCTGTCACAGAAATTGCATCAGGAGGCGTGGGGGTGCTGGGGGCAGTCCAGGAAGGGAACCAGACGCGGGCTAGAGCGATGCTATCCAATATGGCAGCCTCCAGCTCCTGGTGACTGCGTCATTTTAAGTTCTCGTGCACAAAAATTAAACGAAATTAAGAATTGAGTTCCTCAGTCACATTAACCACACTTCAAGAGCTCAATGGCCACGGGCGGCTACCGGAGAGCAAACTGTGCAGATGCAAAGCATTTACACCGCTGCAGGTGGCCGCATGGACAGTGCCAGGGAGGTTTCCTACCAGCTAGAGGCAATTTACCCCGGAGGTCCGGGGTTCAAGGCCAACAGAGCCCCCAACCGTCTCCTCTCTTATTGACACAATTTCACTTGGTTGAAACTAGCAAAGTTGTCACAGAGGCTTCAAGGTGTCTTTGTAATAAAATCGTTTGTATTTAGTATCGTCTAAAACCCAAGGATGAAGGGATTAAGAGCACACTTGTTGTGATGAGTACTGAGTAATGTACAGAATTGATGAGTCAGTATGTCGTACACCTGAAACTCGTATGACACTGTATGTTAGCCACACGGGAATTAATGCAAATAAAATGAATAAAATAAAATTTTAAAAAATAAATTAAATCGGGGAGCCTGGGTGGCTTAGTCGGTTAAGCGTCCGACTTTCGCTTAGGTCATGATCTCGCGGTTCGTGGGTTCGAGCCCCGCGTCGGGCTATGTGCTGACTGACAGCTCAGAGCCTGGAGCCTGTTTCAGTCTGTGACTCCCTCTCTCTCTGACCCTCCCCTGTTCACGCTGTCTCTCTCTCTCTCCTAGAAATAAATAAAAATATTAAAAATAAATAAATAAATAAATAAATTAAATCAATAAAATAAAATGAATAGAATATTCAAAAAAGAATAAAATAAAACAAATTAAATTAAAATAAAATAAAATGAATAAAATTAAATTAAATTAAAATAAAATAAGTGAATAAAATGAATAGAATATTCAAAAATAAAATAAATTAAATTAAATAATTAAATTAACAAGATAAATGAATAAAATAAAATAAAAATGAAACAAAATAAATAACATAAAAATAAAATAAATTAAAATAATAAAATAAAAGGAACAAAATTAAATTAATCAAATGAATGGAATAAAATAAAATTAAAATTAAAAAAGTGAATAAAATAAAATGAATAAAATACAAATAAAACAAGATAAACTAAGTTAAAATAAAATAAAAAATGAAACAAAATAAATAAAATAATAATAATAAAATTAAATAATTAAATTAGAATATAAAATAAGGTAGATTAAAAAAGTAAGTAAAATAAAATAATATAAAGTAAATAAAATAAAACAAAACAGATCCATGTACACATACACAGTGAGCCCCTACAGAGTCGCCTCCGAGGAGGGGCTGCTGCTCATTCCCCCGAAGGACTGGAGACGGCGGAGGGCAGGGATGGTACAGCAGTGCAGACCTTGCTGGGGGGAAGGTACAGTGCCGGCTCTATGCCTTTGCCCGGCGGAGTGCCACGAGAGAAGAGCACGGGGGGGAGACGGGGCTGTCACTCCAGGAACCCCGGACCATGCAGACAGGCACACCATCCGTGGTGAGAAGCAGTCTCCCCACCCAGGGGGGCGGAGGGGGACTCATCCGTGCTGCTCACCTCGGCCAGCAGAAAGAGGGGCTCGATCACGTCTCTCTCCACCTGCAACTCAAAGTGGATCAGCTCCTGAGCCAGCTTGTCCTCCGTCTCTCCACAGAGTTTCAGCATCTTCCTGCAACAGGGCGGGGAAACCGGGCTGAACGCCCCACAAAGCAAGAGGCCACCTGCGTCCACCATCGTCAGCTCACGGCTGCATAAACCATCAAGGGAGGGTGCTCCCACCCTGGCTGCCTTCCATGCTATCCCACTGGCCAACGTGCCCCATTCATTCGCATTTCTGAAATTTTCAGGGTCTTTTAACATTTACTTTTTAGGAGGGCGCAAGCGTGGGAGGGGCAGAGAGAGGGGGACAGGGGATCCAAAGCGGGGTCTGCACTGACAGGCTGACAGCAGCGAGCCCAAGGTGAGGCTTGAACTCACAAATCAAGAGCTCATGAGCTCATGACCTGAGCTGAAGTCGGACGCTCAATGGACTGAGCCACCCAGGCGCCCCTGAAATTGTCAGTGTTTTAAATGATGCTAAGTACCTGCCATGCGCCTGGAGTAAAAGGAACACGTAGGGAAATATAAGAGAGGTGTGGGGAGCACAGACTCACGCATGCTGAATCCTCACTCCTGTAAGATTCCAGAGGCTTCTATCTCCCCGGAGCACTGAAAAACTAGCTACAGCTGCTACACGAACAAACTAACATCTTTAAACACATTCCAAAGGCTTAAATTTCAAGAGGCTCTGATACACAGAAAGCCCCTTCTCGTAAGCCATGGCAACTTACCTTGTAGAGACTGAACAATTATCCAGAGGAAAATTGGGATGGAGAAACCATTACAAAAGAGTGTTCGTAATGAACAAACAACCGAAGACCTGAGTAGGTAGAAAGCTATACGCCATATTCCTAGATGATATATTATTTCAAGGATGCTAATGCTCTGAGTGGGTATACGGACAGCCCTCCTTTTGCACGAGTGGGTATACGGACAGCCCTCCTTTTGCATGGTACTATGCTGACGCTCATGCAAAAAGTTTTTACAAATCAATAAAAGTATAATAAGAGATCACTGTTACTTTTCAGTTAGTATGTATCTTTCCTGTTCTTTCGGTTACATTTCTATGACGAGTAGGTGTTCACATATATGATACCAATGCCACACCTAAACAAGTTCACATCATGGGCGCCTGGGTGGCTCAGTCAGTTCAGGATTCAACTTCGGCTCAGGTCATGATCTCACGGTTCGTGGGTTTGAGCCCCGTGTGGGGCTCTGTGCTGACAGCTCAGAGCCTGGAGCCTGCAGATTCTGTGTCTCCCTCTTTCTCTGTCCCTCCTCTGCTCACGCTCTGTCTCTCTGTCTCTGTCTCTGTCTCTCAAAAATAAACACTATAAAAAGAAACAAGTTCACATCAATGGTTTTAGGCTGAACCTGTCTACTGCTTGCCTTTTTCATGCATCATTAGCTTTGGGGCTTATGCGTCTCGATATACACAGAATTAAGTCATTCCGGTGTATGGAATTCCACTCTGCCATTTACTAAGCCTTCCCATAATCAACAATGCCATGCCGTCTGGTGCTGCAGGACATAAGTGTACAGTCTCTGTTCGCACGTGAGAATTTTTCTGTGCGAAGGAGAGGAGACACACATCCCCTTCACCTTACTAGATACCTGCTCTTCAAAGTGACAGCGCTATCTTCGCACTCACCAGTGCAAATGAGAGTTCCCAATGCTCGACACTCTCGCCGACTCTCAGTAGCAGTAAGGCATTTAATTTCTGCCGAACTGGTGGGTGCAGAACATTACCCCATCCTGGCTTTAATTTGCATTCCTTGGCTCCTGGTGAGACTGAAGATCTGTCTTTGGGGCCATTCGTGATCCCCATTCCAGGATGTGTTTGCTCATATTCTTTGATTATTAGTGCATCGGGATCTATTTCATTTTATTTGTAAGAGTTCTTCACATATATACTTCAAAATGTGTGTGTGGAGCTAAGAGCGGATTCCAATTCTATTTCATATCTGCCGCGAGTGTCAACTTCCAGGCCGGGGGCTTACGATCGTTGTTTTCTCTTTTAATGGTGTCTTTTACCTATTTTGTCTGTTAGTTACCTCCATGCTTCTGATGCTACTATTGTTGCTTTGTTTTTAATCATAAGCGCTGGCTATTGACTGCTGCCAACTGTGGAAAGTGAGAGTTTCACATGTATTTAGAGACCTTCAGTTTGGACATTTCGACCCCATGTGCTATTCACAGTCGTATTCTGTGATCACTGGTCCTTCCTGCCTATCTGTCCTCTCTGAGGAGTTAATAATTGCCTTCTTTCGGTTTTAGTTTTCTATAGACCCAATCAAATCCCAAATCCTCCACCACTAACTACTTCGTCTCTTATGATGCTGAATCACACTTGATGGGAATGAATTTCATCTTCTTGAATTCTTCTCTCCTGGACCCGTGTCAACCTGGATTGAGATTTCTTTACATGCTTTGGCACGGCCGTCTTTCCGCATACGTCTTTCCCATTTCCTGGGATTTTCCCTCCCTCTGTCCTGTGAGGGAAAGGTCTTATTTCCCACATCCTCTGTCTGTCCCTCTTGGTCACTCCCTCATCATGGAGCAAAGCTTGCTGAAGCTGCCTGAGACAGCGCGCAGGAAGCCAATTTAAAAAGCATTTTTAAAAATGTTTGTTTATTTTTGAAAGAGGGAGACACAGAATCCAAAGCAGGCTCCAGGCTCCGAGCCGTCACTCAGAGCCCGATGCGGGGCTCAGACCCACGAACCGTGAGATCATGATGTGAGCCGAAGTCGGACACTTAACCTACTGAGCCACCCAGGTGCCCATTACCCTCAGTGTTGACTGACAACTAGGCAGGGTACAGAATTCTTTTTTTTTTTTTAATGTTTTATTTATTTTTAGGGGAGAGAGAGAGAGAGAGAGACAGCATGAGCAGGGGAGGGTCAGAGAGAGGGAGTCACAGACTGAAACAGGCTCCAGGCTCTGAGCTGGCAGTCAGCACAGAGCCCGACGTGGGGCTCGAACACACGAACCGCGAGATCATGACCTAAGCGAAAGTCGGACGCTTAACCGACTGAGCCACCCAGGCGCCCATTACCCTCAGTGTTGACTGACAACTAGGCAGGGTATAGAATTCTATGCTGATCATCAGGCTCCTTCAGAAATTTGAAGGCATTCCGCAGTAATTAATCTTTGTTTCCATTGCTGCTTTTGCCAAGTCTGGAAGCATTTAGATTTCTGAGCCTCTGTATGTGACAATTTTTTTTTTCTTTCTCCAGAAGGTTGTAGAATCTTTTCACTGGTCACTCATCCTGACTAGTAGTGAGCCCTGGCATCAGTTCAACTTTTTCTATTATAGCAGGAGCGCTATGGGCCCTTTCCATCGAAGAGCTCATGCCCCTTGGTTCTGGAAAACTCTTTGGGATTACTTTATTACTACCACCATGACTACTAGGATTATTTCTTCTCCTCTCAGAAGTCCTGTTATTCAGGCCTAAAACCTCCTGGATTCGTCCTCCAGTCTTCCAACTTTTCTATTTTCTGTGTCATGATCTTCTTCTAGTCTCTGGATTTCTTCAACTTTATCTTCTAAATCTACCACTGAAAAAAGTTGTATTCTTTGTTTCCATGAGCTTGCTTTTGATCTCGGCATATTTTTCCATACGCTTTTTTTTTTTTTTAAGTTTATTTATTTATTTTGAGAGACAGCACCAGCCAGGGAGGGAGCAGAGAGCGGGGGAGAGAGAGCATCCCAAGCAGGCTCTGCGCTGCCTGTGCACAGCCCAGCACAGGGCTCGAAGTCACGAACCTGCAAGATCATGACCTGAGCCAAAGCCAAGAGCAGGACGCTTAGCCAACTGAGCCACCCAGGTGCCCCAATAAGCATTTTTAAAAAAACTGACATGCTGGGGTGTTTTATTTTTTTAATCCTATTTTTTCACTGAGATATAATTGACATACATTCTTTTATTTCGGAGACGCATTATTTTCTCTGATCACGTGACATTAGTGAAGCATTTTCCTGCAAGCATCTCATTCCCATGTGGCATCTATTTCTCCTGAGTTACATCCCGCCCCGCCCCCCAATTATTTTGGTACATAGATTTCAGGTCAGAATTCCCTCCAATGTCTGGAGATCTGGGATGCCTGTCTGTATTTAAGGGTAAAGACTCCGGGCATCTGGGTGGCTCAGTCAGTTAAGCATCTGAGTTTGGCTCAAGTCATGGTCTCATGGTCCATGGGTTTGAGCCCCACATCGGGCTCTGTGCTGACACTCAGAGCCTGGAGCCTGCTTCCGATTCTGTGTCTTCTGCACTCTCCACCCCTCCCTCGCTCTCTGTCCCTCCCCCACTCACACTGTGTGTGTGTCTCTCTCTCAAAAATGAACAGGAAAAACAAAACAAAACAGTGGAGACTCCAAGCTGGGAATAGTGAGGAAAGCCCGTCAGCTTCAAGCTTGTCTGCCTATACGATGGTCAAGCCGGGTCATATTAATTGGAGCAGTGTCCCCTCCAATATCTCTGGTCTTTAGTCCAGTTCTATTGGCCCAGTAACGAAGGCTCTTCTTACTTTGCTGCCTGCAGAGTACAGGCCTAGGGGACCGCACGGGCGGGGGGAATGGAGACGGAGAGTCTCAGCATCCAATGTGATACCCTCACGGGGTGTTCGCGGTCTGGGGACACTTTGCATTACCTCCTCCAGAGAACAAAGCGGCAGACTCTTGCTGGGGGAGGGGACGAGGGGATGGGAGTGTCCCGGGCTGTGGAAAACGGCTGCTGGTGTGAGCCATCCAGGAGGTACCTGGCTAGCTGTTGACACGCACCCCTAATTGCAAGGCCTCCCAGCCCCCAAAGAGCCACTGGCCATCCTAGAGATCCCCAGCCGGTGCGCATTTTGGGATGTAAAGGATGCGGGCTCTCTGCAGAGCCTCCTTCTGGCTCCGGGGTCCACTTTCTGAGACCTGCTAATTTGTCGGTTACCGGTACCATCCAGAAGTTTCACAGCTTTCGCAAACCTTTGTTTTCTTTCCTGGTTTTCACGCCTTTCCATGTTTATTGGATGGCTGTGCCAAGTGTGGCATGTGTACCTGGGTGCCCTTCGTCCCTTCCCCTTCAATCTTCCCGTGTCACTGGGTTTTACGTGAGTCTTGGACACGGCATGGGCGTTTACCCCCCGGTGATTGTCTAGATCATGAGCAGTCAAGGTTATTTCATCCTTCACAGCGACAGAGAGAGCGCTCACAACTTCACCTGCTCTCTGCTCTCTTATGCTTTTCTCTTGGCCTGTGCCAGGCTTTCACCCCTCCGAAGGCTGTTCTCTATGTTATGGGTTTCCCTTTTCACCCTTTCGCTAGTTTTGAAGTTCTCCATTCTATTCCCTGTGTGGCGGCTCTGGCCTTTCCCACATGCACACCGTACACGGAAATGTGATACCTTTCAATAAATTTTTTTTAAATGTTTATTTACTTTTGAGAGAGAGAGAGGGGAGAGAGCAGGGGAGGGTCAGAGAGAGAGGGAGACACAGAATCCAAAGCAGGCTCCAGGCTCTGAGCTGTCAGCACAGAGCCCAACATGGGGCTTGAACCTATGAACCGTGAGATCATGACCTGAGCTGAAGCTGGACGCTTAACCGACTGAGCCACCCACGTGCCCTGAAAATGTGACACCTTTATCTTTCTTTCAGACACTGATTCCCCTGGATGTTGCATGCTTTTATATTCTGGTATTTTCATTCCACTTTGCTTTCAACCTCCCCCCAAATTAATGTTTTAACTCAATGCTTATTTATATATTTTCTAATTTTTTTTTTTTTTTTGAGAGAGAGCACAAGCAGGGGAGGTGCGGAGAGTGGGGGGGGGGTGCAGAGGATCTGAAGTGGGCTCTGCGCTGACAGCAGAGAGCCTGATGCGGGGCTCGAACTCATGAACTGCGAGATCACGAATCTGAGCCAAAGCTGGACGCTCAACCGACTGAGCCACCCAGGCGCCCCTCCATGCTTATTTATATTTCTTTACACTGAAGGTTAACAGAATATGTCGCCCCCAAAATGCCACCTGGGCGTAAGGATTATTTTTAGCTGAAGGCAATCGAGAAGAAATAGATACAAGACCTCTCTGCCCTCCCCCTCTGTACCTAGAAGCAGGACACACAAGCCGTAAAGGTGTCCTACTCCCCACCAAGAAGGACAGAAGTCAATCACCCGTGACAACTCTTGAGTCTTATCAGCCAGAGGGCACCACCGGAACCTACATAATAAACATAACGGCCCGCATCTTCCATTTGCCTTTCAATAACCGGCCACCCTACGAACTCAAATTTCTTCTCCTTTGCCTTGTCACTTTCTTCAACATTATCATTTTATGTAAAAAGTGCTATCCAAGCCCGAGTTCTAACCGGCCTTTGAGCTGCTCGTTACGGAGCTCTGCCATGTGTAACACCAGCACCTGTTACTAAAGGTGTATGCGTTCATCTGGTGATCTAATTCTTGTCAGTTTAATTTGCAGGCCCCACTGAAAGAACCTCTCAGTAGGTAGAAAGAGAACTGTTTTCTCCCGCTACCCACACTCACTAAATTTTTTATGCCGCCTCGCTCCTTACATTTCATCCCTTCCTCCAGGACATAATCCGTTTCACACGCCTTATCTAGTTCTTTCAGTGAGTTACGCAAGTAGCTAAATCTTTACCTGCAATTCACTATCTTTATTTTCCCTATATTTTTTAAAATCTTTTTTGTTTCTTTATTTATTTTGAGAGAGAGAGAGAGAATGAGCAGGGGAAGGGCAGAGAGAGAGGGACACAGAATCCCAAGTAGGCTCCAGGCTCTGAGCTATCAGCATGGAGCTCGATGCGAGGCTTGAACTCATGAACTGTGAGATTGTGACCTGGGCTGAAATCAAGAATCAGACGTTTAACTGACTGAGCCACCCAGGCCACCCCTCCTTTTTTTTTTTTTTAATTCCCTATGATGTACTTTTCCGTTCCGTGCCTGATTTCATAAGTGAAAAGTCTGGCACTCACTTCCCCTCTCTCCTCTGGGCAGCCATCAGTCTGTTCTCTGTATTTATAGGTCTGTTTCTGCATTTTTTGTTTTTTTGGTTTTTTTGAGACTACATGTAAACGAAATCATATACTATTTGTCTTTCTCAGTCTGTCTGATTTATTTCGCTTAGCATAAGACCCTCTAAGTCCATCCATTATCACAAGTGGCAACAACTCACTCTTTACTATGGCTGAGTAATATTCCATCATATATAAATACACACACACACACACACACACATCTTCTTTATCCATCCATTTATCAACAAATGGACACTTGGGCCCCTTCCAATTCTTGCTAGAATAAATAACGCTTCAATAAACACAAGTGCATATAAGCTTTGGATTTCGTGTTTTTGCTTTCTTCGGGTAAATACCCAGTGGCACAATGACTGGATCGTAGAGTCATTCTATTTTTAATTTTTTGTGGAACCTCCATCCTATTTTCCACAGAGGCTGCACCTGCTCGCATTCCCACTAACAGTGCACAAGGCTTCCTTCTTTCTCGCATCCTCGCCAGTAGCTTGCCTCATGTTTTTGAATCATATGAAGTATGATTTGAATTCTGAAGAGTTCTATTTGGTTTTTCTTTGATTCTATTCCTTTTTTTTTTTTAATACCACTTGATTCTTTCGTCAAGGACTATTTTGTCTTTACGTTTTAACTGAGGCATACAATATAAATGTCCTTACATTTTAATTGAGGGATACAATATAATCACAACATGATGTTATATTACCTTTGGGTGCAGGACCCAATGATTCAATATTTTGTATCCATTGTGAAAGGAGCATGAGAAGTCTAGTTAACATTTGTTACCATACACAAAAGTTCCAAAAAAAACCCTTTTTTTTCCTTAAAAATAGGGCGTATTCCACACAGCTGCGTGTTACCCATGCCCGGGGGCCATGCTGGGGTCTACTGTTCCGATTTCTGGGTGTGGACCGCTAGAGCCAGCACTGCCCTTAATTTTTCAGCTTCATGTTAAGAACAGCGACTTCACATTGACATATATTATTTCATACTTTCCTTCCTATTATCCTATTGTTATTAGTTCGTAGGGAACTGATTCACCTGCTGATGGTACCCGCTGATACTCCCTCATGACGATTCTATTTTTAGTTTGTTTTTAACGTGAGCTCAAAGTCAGCCAGCGTCGTTCTCGGAATAGGGTAATTTTTGACATCTGACGTGGAGAGCTTTCCATTTGTTTCTGCTTGAGCCCTTCCACAGTGTACTGTGTTTATGCTAATGTCCCACCACACACACACCGGGAGTGGCCTCTCCGCACAGACGATGTGACTTCAGCACCTGGGTGCTTGATTCTTCTCATTGCCAAACTCTTCCTTCTTCCTGCCCAAGCCCCAGCCTGATTTTAAGTGTCCTCAGTGCATCCCTGAGAAGTTCTGGTCCCCTTCTCACAGATGGGGGCTTACCTAGATTTGGTACAAACCCGCACGTGCGTGGTGTCACTTACCCAAGAAGCGTGTCATCCCCCAGGATAGCCGACCCCTCCATCAAGCACTGAGCCAGGGTTGTCAAAGGCAACTTTTTCTGCAAAGGAAAACAATAACAATAACATCGTTGTAATGAAAACCACTTCATCAGTCACCTGCCTACCGTAAAACAGCGGAAAGTCAAATTCCCGCCTCGATGTTGTATTAGGTAAGATGCGAACTGACCTTGAAACACGTTTAGAACCTAAACATTCATAGCATTTAAGAACAAATTAGACTTGGAGAGGTCAAAATTCAGAAAATCAAAACAGAATTAAATGTCCCAATTTGGGAGGCACCTGGGTGGCTTGGTTGGTTGAGCATCCGACTTTGGCTCAGGTCATGATCTCACGGTTCGTGAGTTTGAGTCCCGTGTGGGGCTCTGTGCTGACAGCTCAGAGCCTGGACCCTGCTTCCAATTCTGTGTCTCCCTCTCTTTCTGCCCCTTTCCTGCTAATGCTCTGTCTCTCTCATCAATAAATAAGCATTAAAAAAAATTTTTTTAGGAGATTTTAAAAATAAAAAATGTGCATGGGGCGCCTGGGTGGCTTAGTCGGTTAAGCGTCCGGCTTTCGCTTAGGTCATGATCTCGCGGTTCGTGGGTTCGAGCCCCGCGTCGGGCTCTGTGCTGACTGCCAGCTCAGAGCCTGGAGCCTATTTCAGTCTGTGACTCCCTCTCTCTCTGACCCTCCCCTGCTCACGCTGTCTCTCTCTCTCTCTCTCCTAGAAATAAATAAAACATTAAAAAAAATAAATAAATAAAAAATAAAAAAATAAAAATAAAAATAAAAAATGTGCCAATTTGGAGAATAAGCCTACGGTTTACAGGCTGCATTTTAAAATACAATGAGATACGGGCAGTTGGGTGGCTGAGTCAGTTAATTGTCTAACTTGATTTCAGCTCAGGTCATGAACTCATGGTTGGGAATTGGAGACCTGCTTTAGGCTGAGCGTGGAGCCTGAGCGTGAAGCCTGCTTGGGAACCTCTCTCTCTGCCCCTCCCCTGCTCGCTTTCTCTAAAAAATAAAGATAAAGTAGGATAACAGCAAGGAAAAAAAAAGACAAGATTTGAGACTTATGTTAACAAAGACTTGGACAAAGCTTTAATTTCCAAAGGTCAGTCTCTCCCCAGAGAAGTACCATAGCTCCATTTTATTCATGAGGCAGCTTATGGTCAAGAGCGAGAGAGAAAAGTGTTCACATAGAGGGTCAGTGCAAAGAAAGGAAGCAGAAAAACAAAGGCACCCTCCAAAGAAGACAGAAAATGGCTTTGAACACAGGACAGACACTTGGCGTCATTAGTTACAAAGGAAATTCACATCGAAGCCAAGCCACAATGAGATACTACCTCACACCCACTAGGATGGCAACAGCAATATAACAACCAGAAACTAAGTATCGACGGGCGTGGGGACCACAGGTGAGCAGGTGGAGAATCGAGTTTCCTCATGCCCTGGGGTGGAAATGTTAAATGGGGCAGTACTACACGAGCGTGTGGCAGCATTTCAATAAATGACACAAAATTACCACACGACCTGGCAATTCTGTTCAATTCCACTCAAAGTAATTAAAAACAGATGGTCAACAACAACAACCGGCATGTGCATGCCTGAGAACAGCAGCATGAATCACAACAGCCGAAAGGCGCAAAGGGCTGATCGTCCATCATCCGACCAACGGATCAATAAAAAGCGGTATAATCGCACGAGGGAATAGTATTCAGCCATAAAAAGGAACGAGGCACTGACAAACACCGTGACACAGACAAACCTTGGAAACTTCGTGCTAAGTGGAATAAGCCAGAGGTGGGGTGCGTATCGTTTGATTCTATTTGTATAAAATATCCCACTTCGGCAAATCCACAGTAGTGTAGCCCGACCCATTCCCTCCTTACTAGTAAGTACTGACCAGCTCTCTGCTCACTGAGCCTGAACCGGCCAACACACACAGAAAACCACAAGCCGGGAGCTGCCCGCATAGGGGCGGCTGGGTGGCTCAGTCGGTTGAGCATCTGACTCTTGATATCAGCTCAGGTTATGATCCCAGGGTCATGAGATCGAGCCCCATGTTGGGCTCCACAGTGAGTGTGGAGTCTGAGATTCTCTCTCTCTTCTCTGCCCCTCCTCTACTCCCCTCCTCTCTTTCCAAAATAAATAAGTAAATAAGTAACTACTAGCATATCCTCAGATCTTCCGGCCCACTATGCTACACAGGGGGCTCTTCAACTGGAAAACAGCTCGACTGACACAGCCCAGCGCCTCCTGTGTTAGTTACGGCACAAAGATCTCAGCTACTCCCACGACACTTATCCTCTAGTGCAGAGGAACAACCAGTAAAAGCACAGCGTGACAGGGATCATTTCAAATGTGGAAAACAGAAATCAGGACAATGGCAATTGGACATGGTGGCGTGTGGAGCCGTGATGCAGGAAGACCTCTCAGAAAGGGTGGCATTTAAGATGGAACCCACGTGGGAAAAAGAGTGGGCCATGCCTCAAAAAGATTTTAGAAAGAACGGTGCAGGTAGAGGGAACTACATGTGCAAAGGCCCTGAGGTAGAACTAATATGCTGGCCTAAGGTCCCCGAGGAGGCCATTGCAGATGGGCCACAGGGAGGGGGTGGGGCATAAAGCCGAGGCCAGATGGTGGAGGGCCCTGTCCTCCACAGGCAGCACGTGGGTCTTACTCTAAGGGCGTCTGGTGATCACTGGAGGATTTAAGAGCACGGTCGGATTAAAATAACTCAGTCCATGGGGTGCCTGGGGGGCTCAGTCAGTTAAGGACTCGACTCTTGATTTCGGTTCAGGTCATGATCCCAGGGTTGTGAGATTGAGCCCTGAGTTGGACTCTGCCCTGAGCACAGAGCCTGCTAAAGCTTTTTTCTCTAAAAAAAAAAAAAAAATAATAAAATAAAATAAATAAAATAAAATGTAATAAAAATTAAAATAAAAAAAATTCAAAATTAAAAATACACAAAATGTTTTTAATTTAAAAAATAAAAAATTGAATTAAATTAATAAAATAAAATAATTAAAAATGTAAAATAGCACATAAAATTTTTTTAAAAAATTTAATTAAAAAAATAAAAAATAAAAAACTCAATCCTGAGATAGACAAATCCGAATGGTTTTAAGTGGGATCAAGCAGGAAATCAAGTTTTTAGGGCTCCATCACTTGAATTTAGGAATCTGGCTTGAGGACCCCAGGAGATCCGCACGCCCGAAAGTATCCCCGGGGAAGACATGGGAAAGAAGGTCAAACCCCCAGGGCGACATGGAAGTTCACGTGGGTCCTGAGGTAAATCCAGGGAGGGAAACCCCAACACACTTGTGTGAACAAGGCCATCCTTGGGTCTGACATTTATCTGTCTCACTGCGCTTAGACACATCCATTCCAGTGAGGTCAGATGCCTTTCACTTGGGGGACAAAATCATTACCCAACACTTCAAATAAAATGGGACATTCTTTTCGGTAAAAACTAGACCGGCAACTCAGTATTAACACATCCGAATTTAAACAGCACTTTCTAGCTGTCCTACAAAGTCACGAAAGGTGCAGCAAAGAGTATGTTATGAGAGCATGTATTCCCACATCACGTTTTAAATTTTTTTTAACATTTATTTTTTTAATTAAAAAAAATTTTTTTTATGTTTTATTTATTTCTAGGAGAGAGAGACAGACAGCGTGAGCAGGTGAGGGTCAGAGAGAGAGGGAGTCACAGACTGAAACAGGCTCCAGGCTCTGAGCTGGCAGTCAGCACAGAGCCCGACGCAGGGCTTGAACCCACAAACCGCGAGATCATGACCCAAGCAAAAGTCGGACGCTTAACCGACTAAGCCACCCAGGCGCCCCAAACATTTATTTATTTTTTGAGAGACAGAGACAGACAGAATGTGAGCAGGGGAGGGGCAGAGAGAGAGGGAGACACAGAATCCGAAGCAGGCTCCAGGCTCTGAGCTGTCAGCACAGAGCCCGACGTGGGGCTTGAACTCACGGACCGAGAGATCAGGACCTGAGCCGAAGATGGACGCTTTACCGACTGATCCCTCAGGCGCCCCTCCAACATCACCTTTTAAAAAAAGTTATTTAAAGCACATTTTAAAAAAGTGTCTAAGGTAGTTAAAGGATAAAAGAGTGAAGCAAATGTAATATATGCTCACAGACGCACTTATAGTTTTAGTTCTTAATCAGGAGTCATTGTGCCTGCTTGGGAGCTTTGGCATTGCATGGACACACTCTCACTTTTCACAACATGGGGGACACTTCTGGTGTCTAATGGATAGAGGCCAGGGATGCCGCTCAACATCCTACCATGCTCAGGACAGGGGCCTGAAATAAAGAATTACGCGGCCCAAAACATCGAGAATGCTGAGATGGAGAAACCTAGTTTAAAGAGAGAGGTCTTCAATATGTAAAGTCCTAAAATATCCCAATAACCCACCAGCGGAGATGCTCTGTCCTGACTGCAGATAGAACAATCATGGTTATTGATCCGTTTTGGTTTGTGCTGAAGGGCCTCAAGTCCATGACCCCGTGCCTTTAGGGCAGGACCTCAGCTATTCAGAATCCTTCTCTGAAATCTGACGAAGACCACGCCTATATCAGACAAAAGGGGACACTCATGGTTTGTGGGTTTGAGCCCCGCATTGGGCTCTGTGCTGGCAGCTCAGAGCCTCCAACCTGCTTTAGATTCTATGCTTCCCTCTCTCTCTCTGTACCTCCCCTACTTACATTCCATGTCTCTCTTTCAAAAAATAAACATTAAAAAATAAAATAAAATAAACATTCCCCCAATTCTAGAAGACTGAAAGAACCTTAAGAATTAAGCGTAGGGAAGACAGAATGTTCCGGGGTCTGGAAGTCATCAATCTGACTTTTCTGAGAGGACTGTTCTCTCTCAAATTATCTCAGGAACAATCAACAACACTTCGTAGGATGACTCAGAGACAAAAAGTCTAATCCTAATATGCACTCTGTTTCCCCAACATATCCACCCGTACCCTCGAGTCCTGGCAATTGCGGATGGCAAGCCCAGGCAGCTAGCTCTCCTGGGTTTACT